GGGGGGGGGGTCAACGGTTGTGATGCCTTGTGGCACCCGCCTTGTCGTGGGAATGTATTCATGACTACAGACGCTGAAGATGTGATCACCTTGTTATGATAGTTTGAGGGATATATTATTGATACTGCTATACACTTTCCACAACAGTTGCGTGTCGTCCGTCTGAGGCTGCTACGTCTACCGATATGTATCATCATTGTTTACTGTGCTTTAAGGTTGGAAGACAACGTGAATGTCACATCATGAGTAGTGGCAACGAGGGTTGCCGGTACATTTCTCTGTCGTCGAAACATCAGGTGCAAGGGAAAATGCCTCCTACAAAGGTTATCATCTGCGAGAGTCGCTCCCCGTTGTCACCGCTCACACCGTCCAAACGTGGAGCGGGGCCTTTTTTCCCCGAAAGGCCGTGGAAACGAAACCACATCGGTGTACCACATTTGCTTACCTCTACTAATGTCGTCCGTCGTCTTAGTCTTGACGACATAATGAACAATGCTCTTCCTTTCAATGGACATGGTGAACGAACCGTTGACGGTGGAGGCCCTGTGACGGATAAACTAATTGCTGACTCGGTGACGGAACAAGATGGCGAAGAGAACAGTCAGAAGTTCGCGGAGGTAGATTATGGTGACGAGGGACAATCCACTCCTCCCTCGCATGCCTTGTCGTCGACAAGAATCGCTGACACTCGCGACAATCCACGACCTCCTTTGACCGGGGGCCAAGGAAAGCGAAAGTACACATACAGGAATAGGAAAAGAGGATGTAGTGATTCCTCGTCCGCGTTCGAGCGTAGATGCAGTCTTGAGGACTGCGAGGCAGTTTTRAAAAAAARATGTTGCAGGAAATCTGGATGCCTTAGTCGGCTGAAAGCGCAAGACGTTCAGAAATGTAGACGTGAGTACAGTGCGCTTAGAGGCCGTGATAGTCGCAGGTGGTGGATTTCAAAATTGCAAAACTTTATCTCTCTGGTTGACCGGAAACCATCTGTGAAACCAAYAGTGSAAATGCGTCCGATCTGCATGAACGCCTGGTGCCTCATTTTAGGCGTTGGGCGGAATACRTTTAAAAGGCACGTAGACGACCTCRGCGACGGAACGATGGATGTCGTTCATGGCCATGAAGGGCGCCCTAGGACGAACGCATGGTACGCCATTACGTGGTCGGCATTTGAAGATATAATTCTCAATGAATCAGATCCAATGCCGGATCAAACAGAGACGGASCCGCTTTTTGAGATTAGAAACCKCATCCACCTTCCTTCCGTTTATGCTACGAARARARATGTTCATCRGAGCATYGAAAGAAGACTTCTGAAAATCAGYGTCGCTTGCTCGTCATATCAGRTCTTCTGCAAAATGTGGCGCGACTTTTTCTGGCAGGTTCGTCTGGCTCGAGCTACCGATCACGCAAGGTGCAACGAGTGTATTAGTTGGACCACTCGCATCGAGGGCGCCCTCCCGGGGCCCAGGCGCCAACTTGTGGCGCAACATAAATATCATTTGGCTCTTCAAAAAGCCCATCGCAAACTCTACAGCGTTTGGTCGGCGGAGTCGCAGTTCAAGCAGGGAGAGAGCTTATGCATCATCATAGACGGGATGGATCAGGCTAAAACAACGATTCCCCATGCGGCGCGCAGGCGGTTATCGATAGAGATGGCGAACAACGCTATGATGAAAACAAATCTCACTGGTCTGATTGTGCATGGAAGGAATCCCTCGCTCTTCGTTCACATCTGGTTCCCGTACTTGTCGCACGGTTCGAATTCCGGTGTCACATCCATTGCAAGAGTGCTGAGAGAGGTGTAGGCGCGAGATGGGTAGCTCCCTCCTCTGTTGAGGGTGCAAGCGGATAACTGCGGAGGTCAGAACGAGAATAGATATGTGTTTGGTTTCCTTGCGCTGTAAGTCAAGTTCCGTATTTTCGAGAAGGTCCTCATGGGATTCATGATTGTCGGTCACACCCACACCGACATCGACGCGAAATTCAGTTTGTTCGCCAGGAAACTCAACAGTTGTGATGCTTACACCATGGATGAACTGTTCTCCGTTCTGCAGCGTTCTTGTGAGGAGCCAGTAGATTGCACACATGTCATGGAGATGGTAGACAGGAAAACTGTTGTATCCCCTTACCTTGATCCGAAGATATCCGGTCACTCTACTCCTCACCTTTTTCGATTTTACATGGACAGGGAAAACCCTGCGATGGTGTACAAAGAGTACGACAACAAAAAAGGTGGAAGTCTAAGACAGGGCCTGTGTACTGGTTCAAGAGGAACAAGGACAACAGTCGGGCACGACCGGAATGGGGGTTCCAGCCTTGCCGTGAGTCGCCCAATCCAAACTGTGGCGACTTCGTTAGCGGCAAGGCGGGACTACGAGTGCTGAAGAATTCTTGAGAAGATAAGATCCACGAATGGGAAACCCAATCTTTAGAGGACAGAGAACTAAAAACGAAAAGATTGCAATACTGGAAAGATCGCCTGCGCGAGTTTGATTGCATTGAAGCCGAAGAGACGGGGACAGTTCCTCTTTCGATGGAATTCTGGCCGGCCCCGAGGGCTGCCAAACCTGGATTCGAACCCGTAGCTGCTCACAAGCTCGCATCACCCGCAAGAAAACCGTGCTTCGTGCATCACAAGAAAGATGCTCCTAAACCTGAATTTGACCCGTGCGTGGCGGTCGACGTCGACTATTTCGTCGTGCTGAGGCCTCCGAACGACCACGTCGCGCAGGGGTGCACGTTCTGGGTGGGGCGAGTCCAGAAGAAGGACGAAGGCCACGTCCTCGTTCAGTATTGGAGGCCTTGTGGCCCCGAGCGCAGTGTTCGCGAGTTGTACGCAGACGCATGAAACAAGAATTGGAGGGTGGAGACAGAGTCTGAGCCCGGATGGCAGGACCTGAAAAGCGTTGCTTGGGCATGGGCAAGCAACAAACGCTCGGCAGCCGGGATGAGAATCCGAAAGACCAATGCCATGAAGGCACAACAATCACTCGCCACTGCTGACACACTCGTTTGTTCTGACATGTTGACTCGCGCTGCTGAAGCGTCTCCGTCTTCCATGTACCTATCGAGACAAGAAGACGAGGGCTGATTGTCTTCATCTTTATCAAAAGTGGGTACGACATTTTCGAAACGCTGATCGTCATCATCTTGATCAAACGTGGGTACGGCGTTTTGGAAACACCATACTTCGTCCGTTCCCCTCGCCATCCGTTCACCTCCCAGAAACCCAAGGCGTGCGGCATTTTCGAAACGTCGTACCCTCTCGGCACTGTCCACATACAGGGCCGGAACGGGTACGGCGTTTTCAAAACGCTGTACCCCCTTCGGTTATCGGAAAGGGGAGGGAGCGGAAGGTACGACATTATCGAAAAGCCTCACCCCTAGGCCCTGCTCGCCTACGAGGTCGGGGTACGGCGTTTCGGGAACGCCGTACCCCTCGGCTGATTCTCGAGACGTCGTACCCCCTCGCCTGATTCTGGAGACGCCGTACCCCTCGCATTGTGGCCGCGAGCGTGGTGCTCGCGAGTTGTATGCAGATGCACGGAAGTCGACGTTGACTGTTTCGTCGTGCTCAGACCTCCGGACGACCACGTCGCACAGGGCTGCATGTTCTGGGTGGGGCGTGTCCAGAAGAAGGACGAAGGCCGCGTCCTTGTTCAGTATTGGAGGCCTTGTGGCCTCGAGCGTAGTGTGCGCGAGCTATATGCAGATGCATGGAACAAGAATTTGAGGGTGGAGACGGAGTCTGAGCCTGGATGGCAAGACCTGAAAAGCGTTGCTTGGGCATGGGCAAACAACAAACGCTCGACGGCTGGGATGAGAATAAGAAAGAGCGATGCCATCAAGGCACAGCAATCCCTCGCCGCTGCCGACACGGTCGTTTGTTCTGACATGCAGAATCGCGCTGCTGAATCATCTTCGTCTTTCGTGTACCTGTCGGGACAAGAAGACGAGGGGTTGTAGTCATCATCTTTGTGAAAAGTGGGTGTGCCGATATATGGTTGTCGTGGAAATATTTGTGTGTGTCGATATCTCTCGTTTAAAGGAGTTAGCGAATGACGTGGCATGCCGTCAACGAGTGTACTCGTTCGCGTGCTGTTTGCTGACATATATCGTTTGCCTTTACTTTCGGCAGACATCTCGGTAGTGTAGTTTGTCGCGGCGGATTTTTCGAAGTATGGACGAGGACCACATTATAAGCAATATTGCGAACGCATAGGGAACACCCATACGCTATGACGAATTTATTCCACATCGATACACGTGGCAGATGATTGCAGTTGGTTTCCACACCAGCGACGAGACAACTTTTTGTCCCACATTTGACCTGTGGTCTCCGCAATTGCAACGCAAGATCTCGAGGATGGCCAAGACATGTGATCCAGAAGGCCACTTTTGGAAACTCGGTGCACCGCGGCGGAACAAATTTTTTTACGGATGCGGTTCGATATATGACCACTATACAACATGCAATCATGAAAAAATACTCTGCATTGCGTTTGAAGCACGACATAGGATGACGTTTTGTTGTACGCGTATTGAGCGCCGCAAGACAAGGCACGATGAAATGCATGGCATGGACTGCTCCGTGTACGACATGGAGAACGCCATGTCCAGGCACACCCGTCGTTTCTGTAGTGTCATTCGAGATGCGATGATACATCTCGTACGACGAAGGGCTTCCATCGTCGGAATAATTGTTGTGAAGGTGCTGCACACATTGGACGACGATGGAACCACCATATACTTGAAGAAGACCAAAACCAAAACGAATGTCGATGTCAAACACTTGTTCCGACGCATGAACAGGACACACCGACACATGCCACAAAAGATGACGGACAACACGGAGAGAGGCGTGAAAAACAGGTCACGGTTGCTAGGATATCACGAGGAGTTGGACAAGGATGAAGTAGCATGACACATTTCTTACGTTCATCGCAAACATGCTCACAGCAGTGTCTGTGTTGTGCACAAAAGCCGCTTCACGTGGTCGTTTAAGTGACTGGATGGATACCGGCGACAGCAGCCGTCAGCGACAATTGGACGAGAACACGAAATTGAGGATTGTCGAGGCACTTCAAGTCAATTCATGGTTGAGCGTGCTACCATGACGAGGAAAAGTCGGAAACTGAAGCGAGAGCGATTGGAACATTGCAATGATAGAATGTCCATGGGCGCACGACTTCAGATTCGCTAACGAGATGGAATGGGAACGACTCATCGAAATATGTCATGCCTCCCTCCAGACAGCGTATATACCAAACTACGCGGATATTCACTAGATGTACGACCACCTAGATACTTATGACCCACTTGTATCTATTGCAAACCAAGAATCGAACAACGAGTGTTGCGAAGAGGACGGAGCAATCTCATGCAAGTTCGTAAGAACATCACCTCGCACATGGCCAATGCGATTCGGACACGAGCTGCAAAGGTGTGGAAGATTGTGCAACAGAATCACAACTTATCTCGTGCATAACGAAGCGGGGTCAACCGCTCAGCGCATATCTTATTGCTCAGTGAGGATTTTCTTAAATGATGCCGATTTATGCAGAGTAAATTGTGTAACATGCACTAGCAAGGGAGGGAGATTAATAGAGGCAAGATGCAAAGCAATGTGGTGTGAGGAGGAATGCGACAATTAAGTGTTTAATGTGAAAGAGTCGGTGGACGAAGTAGAGGATAAAATATGCACCCTAAGAGATGTCATCGGCATCGCTCTCGCTGGCACGCACAATTTCGTGAATATGTTATATATATCGTCATTCGATAGGGACGACAATGAGAAGCTCGAAGGTTTGAAAACGCTTACATTCGACTCACCCCTGCACGGTTTGTATAGTTACGAAAGAAAACGTGTTAAGCGCAATGGTTCGGAATAGCAAGTTCTAGTATTATAGATAGTTTACCACCGACACGCATGCACCAACACTGAGTGTTAGCCTCATAAGAGAGTTATCATTTCTCGACTTTATTTACGAACGTCTACACGTTCAATTTTATCGCTCATGTGTGTGTATTGTGTAGGGTACATAATGTCATCGACAACGTTGACAAGCATCAGTGGAAGTCCCGAGAGACTCAAACGCTCAACAAAACCATTTCCTCCTTGTGCGAAATCAGTGCGGCATTATAACGGTCATACTTGGCTCAAGTATGACCCAAGAGAGGAATTCGAAGATGACCCATGGATGACCGTCGTCCCATATAAGAATCGACATCTTGACCAATGGACCGATAGCAATTCGAATGCGATGGAGAGTGTGAGTGACCACCCTTGGGCAAACCATTACAAGTTCGTCAATATGTTGGAGTTTGGGAGCCTCATTCCAATGCCTGATGGTCTTCTCAAACTTGTTTTCCTCACCCGTCTGCGCAAAGCATACCGCAACATTGACCGCTACAACAGTCGCATCGACTTCGTGTACATCACGAGTTCGCCACGAACTTGGACGTGTTCGCTGAAACAAGAGTCTATAGACACAACTCGTCATTGTTCATTCTTGGAGCAGTACCCACTCCGTTGCCCAGGGATTTATCCACGAGCTGTGTCATATTCTTGCGTGTGGTTGAGTATTACCGGATATGAATTCGCAAGAGTGCTATGTGTGACTTTTTCAAACAAATCTAGGAAACTCGTAGATGCAGTTGTGCGTGTATCACGGAACCAACTCTTTTTTCAACCGCCACAGGGTTGGTGGTTGCCTGTTCGCTGAGATCCAGATGGACGGTCAAATGTGGTGATAGCAGACCAAATGCAAAATCCGGCATTGTGGCAACAACTGGAAGAGAAAGCGATGGCCATACGAGACGCCATTGGGAATTCCTTACCACGTCAGGGAGGGTTTGTTAGGTTGAAATACATGTCGGTATTTTCAGAGAATACAACAATCAAGGAGCCGCAGATCCACGTATATGGATCGTCCATGAAAGTTATGTATGGTTTCAGTCCACGACCTCGTCCGCTGCAAACCCCGTACGTTACAAGATTCGGACGGGTTATCAGACCTCCTACTAAAGGGATGTAGTTAGTGACAATGTAATTATAGCGGATATACTGTTTTTTATGTTTTTATCCGCTCTATGGAGCATCTTCGTAGTTAAACAATTTTGAAATTGTATAATAAACGTGCCTGTATACAATATTCAAAATCTAATATGACGAAACTCGCGGATTTTGTTCGTCTACACGCTCAACTTGCAGGATGGAAGTCGGTCAAACAAGCTCGCATGGAAGCGGATCCGCTCATTAAGTTCCATCAACAATTGAGGATCTCATTATCTTAGACACTAACATTTGGTCGGTTGATATCGTCGATGAATTTGTGAATTATGAGTACAAAAATGTTGAAAACGAAGTTGGACCGGATGGTGAAATTCTACCGATCATAGGGTTTGTCAACGGACAAGAAACCACTGTGTCCGACAATGGATCAAATATGTGGTACCTAGACACAAAGGAGGATGACGCATACGTCATTGTATCGAGGAAAGACGTTGTGGATCATTTGGAGATGCTAGCTAACTGGAGGGAGGTATGCAGGTAACACGACTAGGACGAGAAAGACAAATTGGAACAAAAAGTGTGCGCGTGGTATTCCATTGGCAGAAAAGAATTGCTTGCACAGGTAGTGGTGGACTTCTATGGTCGAATCCGAGTATGCAATAGAGGCACGGCCATAGTGACACTTTTTACAGCAGCGAAGATCACCGCCACGACAATGAATGTGTTGTTCACTGCCCGAGAAGAATTTTGGGACCCCGCGGGTTCGAGCAAACTCGAACAGTTTCGGAATCGGTTGAAAATTGAAGCGACACTTAGAAAAGAGTTAGTGTACAGGGTTGACAGTTTGGTGCATGTGCAACTTTACTACCTTTTAGACAAATGTGAGGATATAGTGTTCACAGTCGAGCATAGAAAATGCGACACAGATAAAGTGACTTGTATGAAGCAGTACCATCGATCGGGACAGAAAGAAGTACCGTTAGTGGGTGGCAAACAAAAAATAGTGATAGATTGTCCGTATTGTGAAGACAATAAGAACGCAACAAATTTTCTACCTTTTATTCTTCATGGAATCCTGGATAGTAGCCAGTAGCATAACACTCCAACAACCTCTATCCACCAAGCCAGTCCAAGCACCTACCGACCGAGATACTCCAAACACCTTCCCACCGAGCCACTCCAAGCACCTACCGACCGAGCCACTTCAAACAGCTACACTAAGGTGGCTCGCACCGAGCCACTCCAAGCACCTATACTGCGGTAGGTGCCTAGAGTGACACCTACCGATCGAGGCACTCCAAACACCTTCCCACCGAGCCACTCAAAGCACCTACCGACCAAGCCACTCCAAGGACCGAGCCACTCCAAGCATATATCGACCGAGCTACTATTACCTA